CAACGAAAAACCGGATGATCGAGTCCTGTATGGAGTCTGCCAAGAAGCAGATTTCGGGTCTCCGGCTCACGGATTCAGCAGAAGTCCAGACACTGTTCGCTACGGTGCAGTCCTTGAACTTCAGCGACAGTCAGAAGGACGAGCTGATGCGGCAGATCGGTGATCGTTTCGTGGCATGCAGCACACCCAAATCACAGGGCACCAAGAAGTCCATGCAGACCATGGACGACCCGGGAAGTTTCCTCCGGGCCTCGGATGTGACCTTCATCTCGAACCCAGACCACACCATTAAGGCCAAGGCAAGTCGGATGGCCATGATGTTTTGCAGCATCAACTGCAGCTGCCCGACGGAGCCTACTTCGGGCCGAGCTGTGGGAGTGCTCAAGAACGACTTTGGCCTCAAGGAACTCGACGACCCTCAAGTGTTTTACAACACAGTTCAGGATTTCAAAGCAGCCTTGAAGTCGCACTTCAAGTCCAATCCCAGTGGGTCGACGAGCCATGTGCACAACTTCACGACACCGGCAGATCTACCCTCCGATGTGTATGCGAGAGCATATGGTGAGGAAGGGCCGTCCGGACATGCCGGCCTGGGTGGCTCCATCGGTCCAGTTCGAAAGTCTTCTGCGATATTGAAGAGCCAGAACAACCAGAAGGTTCCTACTCTAGACCTTCAGGTGCCTTCGCAGAACAACATGGCCAATATGATGATGCAAGGGTTCCAGAGCATGCAGCACATGTTCAATGTCTTCGCAGGTGCACAGCAGGCTGGCATGTCCGGCCAGCAGAACATCTTCATGAACAACACCAAGACGAACCCGCCGAAGCAAACCCTCGCACTCACGAATGGACCCGATGCAGCATCGAGTCCAGCACGTGCAGAGCCGGAGCAAGCTCAAAAGCCTATGACTCCGGAAGAGCAGGTGAACACCATGCTCTCCAGCTGGAAGAATCGTCAAGAGGAGAACAAGAAGAAAGCCGAGGAGGGCAAGGCTGGTGATCCGGAGGGTGGCAGCGAGAAGGCCGAGGCGAAGGGCAAGGCAAAGCCAAAGAGCAAAGCCAAGGCAAAGGCGAAGGGCATGTGCAAGGCGAAAGCCAAAGCCAAAGCCAAGGCGACGACGAAGCCGATGGTTAAGGCTAAGGCGAAGGCGAAGACCAAGGCCAAGGCTGCCCCCAAGTCCAAGGGTGCCAAGAAGGTTCCGGATTGGGATGAACGAGTTCGAATGAGGCCATCAGGATGTGCAAAGTGCCGATGGAAGCGAGGCTGCTGCCCTAGTTGCTTTTTGAAGTAGAGACTCCTGTTTCACATCGTGTCTCAGGCACTCTCACTCATGCATTATGAAGTCCGGCTGCACACGGGCTGCAGCAAGAGCATCTCAAAATGTGGCCGATGCATGTGTGCCCTGACATGTGACATGGAATGGAAGCTGGAGCTCCTGTGCATTGTTATAGAGGATGTGTGTCATGAAAGGGTACAGGTTCGGGGTTTCCGATTTGTATATATTTATATGTAGAGTTTAAACTATACATATAGTGGGTCTGTATATCATATAATGTATATACATATAGGAAATGTATTGTATATATAGTCTGTTGGTGTTTTAAAGCTGAAGGTTCCTGGGGTTCGATCATAATACATTCGGAGTATTGTGCTGCAAACTTTACATGTAAAGCTACTCGAAAAGAGTCCGTGCTGCAGGGCCCTTGGCTCGTGGCCAGGACCAATTCCCGCACAGCTTGGGCATTGCATGCCCGAGTCATGACATCCAGCTCCAGCTCCAAACCTTTGGCAAGCCTGGGGAGGAAGGTGTTTGTATCACAACGAGGTCTGGAATCCGTGCTCAGCGATTTGAAGAAGACCGGTTTCCTCGCCGACGATTTTGCTACCACCTCGCGAGCCTCGATTAAGCGAGCGAGGGATGGTGAAGAGAAGTCGTGGGAGAATGCCTTTGGGCAGATGATCATTAACATGGACATCCCACATGAGAGCGATGACACGAAATTTGTTAGGGTTCCCTTCGTGCCACCTGTTGTGCTGCTGCAGCACTGCATCGCCAACGAGCATTACCATCGACTGCTCGAAAAGTGTGGCCAGTCCAGCCCTGCAGACAAGCTGGGCATCGCTATATATGCTGACGAAGTTAGTCCCGGCAATCAGCTAAAAGCGCTGAATGCCAGGAAACTACAAGTCATCTACTGGTCCATCGTCCAGCACGGGCAAGATCTGGCCTCGGAGTGGCTTTGGTTCCCTTTGTGTATACTGAGAAGCACTCTTTGCAATCGGATCGGCGGCCTCACTGTGCTTTGGAAACATGCCATCCAGCACATGTTCATGGATCATGACATGAGGCATGGTGTTGTGCTGCAGACATCCACCACAGCATTTCCCGTCTTTGCCGACCTCTCTGTTCTTATAGCGGACGAGGCAGCCCTGAAACAAACAGCTGAAAGCAAAGGTGCCTCGGGCACAGTGTTTTGTATGAGATGTGCGAATGTCGTTGCCCACCGAAGCGGGCTACAGGACCATGGCGATGTTCTCTCGTCGACATGCACTGACTTCACGAAGTTTCGCTTGCACACGAACCGGTCGGTCGGTGAAATCATGAGGTACCTCTCTTCCCAACATGGCACGGTTTCCCAGAAGGACTTCCAAACAATGGAAAAAGCTTTGGGCTACAACTACATGCCGGGAGGCCTCTTGATGTCGAATGTAGGACACAACATTCCGGAGATGATCATGTTCGATTGGTTCCACATTTACTTGGTCCACGGTGTGGCCGGTAACGAGGTTGGGGTGTTGCTAGGCCGCCTCCGAGACAGTGGCTTTCCCGAGCAACAGATACACGACTTCGTGCAATCCTTCCATTGGCCGGTGCAATTCGCTGGTGCGGATGCCAAGTCAGTTCTCGCCAAAAAGCGAGAGGACAAGACTGCCCCGGTGAAAGCAGAAGCCTCCGAGCTCCTTAATTTCCTGCCGGTCCTGCAGTTGTTCCTTATCCTCTTCGTCTGGAGGGATGCTGACGACTCCCTGAAGAGTTGCTGTCACGGATTCTTCACCTTGTGCAAAATCCTTCGCATGCTGAGGAAAGCCACTCAGGGTGGCTTGGACCCTGCTGCCCTCAGGGGTGCCATTAAGGAGCATTGCGAACTATACCTCGCCAACTACGGGGCAGAGTACTGGGTTCCGAAGAACCATATGACCATGCACCTACCCGAATTCTTGTCTCGACATGGGCTGCTCCTTTCGTGCTTCGTGCACGAAAGGAAACACAAACTGGTCAAGAGGTTCGCAAACAACATGAAGGACACTTCCAGATCATACGAAGCTACCGTCCTTCGCGAGACCCTTGCAGCTCAGTTCCTTGCGATGCAGGACGAACTCCCCCAAGGGGATGTGCGACTCATCGGCAAGAGACGGTGCACAAAGGCAATGGCCAGCCTGATCCGGGATGTGTTCGGCAACTCCGACGGTGTGTTTCAAGCACAGGCAGCATTGCATGGCGGAGGATTCCGGTGCTCCCATGGAGATGTCGTCAGAGCCAAGCATGCACAGGAACACGTTGTCGGCATGATTCACTTTCATGTTGAGGTTGACGGCCTGCCTCTCACATGCATGAGTCCATGGAGCCATGTGGCCGATCACATGTACCGTGTGAAGCACGAAAGTTTCTTCATCAACACGGCATGCATTTTTTCGGCTTGCATCTGGTCTCGCAAGGGCGACGATGCCATCGTGTTGTTGGAGTGAGCTGCAAAAGTGCATGATCCTGCATGCGAGCCCACGGCCCTGCATTCGAACTCGTGCTGTGCTTCATGTTTGTGTTCACATAAAGCCCTCCCTCGCAGGTGCTGTTGACGTCGGCAACCACCAGATGCTTGGGAATGCAGGGTTTGGGGGGCTGATATATTAATATTGGCTTAGGTTTACTTGTGTTTATGCTCATATGATGTCGGTTTCGGTGTCTATTATTCATAACTGGTATGTAGCTTGATTTCGATGTTTATGTAATGGTTTGCGAACATGGGCAACTTCGAAGGGCTTCCCCGCATAATATGATGGAGCCGGTGATGTGTTGTAAGATGGTATCGGCTTTAGATCTTTCTTTCAAGAATTTTTTCAGCTTGAGGCTGGTGTCGGCTTTCGGTGTTGATGCAGGTTTTTAGCTTTCAATCTTTTCATGTGCTGGTGCATCTTTGCTTTAGCCCGAGGGCCTCAATTGCATGCTGTGCGATGCTTTCACGGTGAGCTTCTTCGGTATATGTGTGTATATGTATGTATATATAGATACAAAAAACCATTGCTATATTCATCGTCTTAACTGGGCTAACTGACTTAGTCAGCTTACCTAACTGCTCCATCTGGACTTACCTAAGTCCCTTATCTCTCACTTACTAAGTCCATTAATTGGACTTGGCTAACCGCTCTAAGTTTGGCACTAACTTGTATAAGTCCACTATCTATATAGTAACCCCCATGATCCTTCAAGTAATAATTAGAACAGGGTTTTGGGGGTTCCTTATTATAATTATGGATTATTATTCTCCAAGACTCTATTTGAATAATCAAGGCCCCTACATTAAACCAAATCTACAACGATTGTGTTTGGGCTCTTGAGGGTTTCAGGGATCACTATTCCTTCAGTTCCTTAGTCAGTATATACTTTGGGGAATACAACCATCCAAGCCGTAGTCAAAGTGTTAGGGTTTCTCGGCATACAACCCAGCAGCTACCTCTTCTCTGCAGGAGCCCAAGACACCCTAGAACCCCAAATAGCTTGAAAATCAGAAACCCTCAAACCTAACCCCCCAAAACCCTGAACCTCCCTGCAGCCTTGGACTCGCCGCCATACCCCCCGCCCCCCCCCCAAACTGGATTTCCATACTGTTGATGATATAAATCCTGCATTACCCATAATTGGGAATATACCATAATTCCCATAGTCTAGGGTCCTGAAGGTCATGCAGGATTTATATCATCAACAGTAACACTATATTCCAAGGAGCCCGGCAAGGACAAGGGGGACAAGGACTGGTCGCGCTCAAGGGTTTTGCGCAGTTGGGCTTGTTGTGGTCATGATTGGGGGTCTCGGGTTGAACTTGGTTGCTAAGGTTTAGGGTTTCGATTTTGGGTCTTTGAACTTTGCTGCTGAGTCATTCAAGTGCCGAGTGTTCGGAAGCTACCTCTTAAGCAGGCCTTTGCCGAAGCCCCTTAAAGTCCGCAAACCAGAAGCACCTTAAGCCCCAAAACCCTTAATGCCCTAATACCGTATCCTATAAACCCTAAAGCCCCAAACCACCAAAACCCTTAAAGCCATAAAGCTCGAACGGTTTAGTGTTAGGGCACTCTGGGACACGCAGCGCAAGCAGAAGCTCTCGAATGTTCTATAAGCCCTAAACCCTAAAGCCCCTAAACCCTAGACCCCAGGAATCTGACGGTTAAGATCTGCAGTAGAAGCCCCAAAGTTGGAAACCCCAAAGCCTCAATCCTTAAGAGTCATGTCCCTTTTTGGGTCCTTATTATAATAGGGCACCTAATATTTAGTTCACCCAAAAAGGGACCATACCTTTGACAACCACCCATGTATAGGGAAACCCAGCACTATTTGGCCTTAATCCGGCTTGCAACTTTATGGGTTTACTGTAGAGAGTCTAATGTAGGGGCGTGCACGATTAGAATGGGTTTCAGGGTATCTTACAATATATAGCGGGGGAGCCCTATAGCTAGGAAATGTGATTGTACTTGTTACCAGGAGCTTCAGGATATGGGTTTCAGGGTATCTTATCACATAACAGAGAGCCCATCGACATGTTGTTCTACTTTTGATCAAGGGCCTTAGCTGATGTGGGGTTTAGTTATTTAGAACCATTTTCAAACACAGCAGAATGTAAATTAAAAGATGTAAATAAACCGATAGAAGGTGTATATTGTGGTTTTCGGGCTCAGGGATGCATCAGGGCTTGGAGAGACTTGGGTTTAAAGTTCAGGCTCGGGTTTCAGAAACCGGAGCCCTGGTGGTGTCATCATGTCTGATGATCTTGATGATCTTGGGCTTCATGGGAGCCAGGCTGTCACTTGACTCCTTGGACCTTATCTTGGATGCAGCAAATATGTTGCAGCAGCGGGTGTGTCTCTGAAGCATCAGACTGGAGCCATGGTGGCAGTCACGTTTGAACCTGAATGGTAAGCAACACTCGGTAGAGATTGTGATTCGTGATTCGGTCTCCAACGAATGTGCTTTGAGATCTTGGCTGATCTTATTGGCTGTCCGGGCCGTCTTGCTGAGAAGACTCTACTGCTTGGACACTTCTCTCCGAGGACTGCTCTTGACAAGATCCTGCATATTGCCTTACTCTGGAGCCCGGGCTGGCTCAACCTCAGACGCATATCTTAGCTCTGGTTTAGGGGTTTGGGGGTTTAAGGGTTTTAGGGGTGTTAGGATTTCGGGTTCATAAACCTCAGAAGTAATTTTTAGGGGTTTGTAGGTTTCGGGTTGGGTATTAAAGGTTTAGGGTTTATAGGGTTTAAGTGTTGTTCTCCAGCGTAAAGGAGAAGTCTACCTGAAGCCCTGTAAGCCGAAACAAGAGAAGGCTGCATCCTGACACCCCCAACTCCAAACCGCTAAACTCTTCAGCCCTCAACCAGTATAGTAGGGTTTAGGGTTTATAGGGTTTAGGGTTTAGGGTTTAGGGTGTATAGGGACCTTCACACTGAACAGAGAGTTATGGGACATATTCTATATAGCTACGAAAAATTGGCTGTAGTACGGAGCGGAGCCCTTGTAAGGAATACTATTCCATGCATTCACCCTAATGCTCCTGGACCCTCGTAGTGAGATCCTAAACCTTAGCCCCCAAAGCCCAAACCTTCGCCCACAAAGCCCCTAAGCCTATTAGGAGCCTTAGGGCAGGCCCTAAAAAGATGCAGGACAGCGAGTCCTTGTCTCCCAAATCACCGTCTCCGCATGGGCTACGCGGCAGAGCCCGCAGCCGCGGTAGTGAGGACCTTGGCTTTTGCGGGGTTTTGGTGAGGGGTGGGCCTAGACCTTCCAAAAACACCTTAAGTAAGGAATATATTATACATCGTATTAAGGAAGCCAGCATAATTTAAGGTAGGTTCCATATACTAAAAGTCATATTAGGGATCCTACCCATAATTTAAGGTACAAAACAAAAACTATAAGTCATATTAATTAGTGATCTTACCAGAATTTAAGGTACCATTCCTAAAGGACAGGATTTTGGAAGAGTCGGGGGCCGGCCTTAGGGTTTCGGAGCTGGCTGTTGGGTCTGGGGCGTACCTGGAGGATCACGGGACTTAGTAAGGGTCCTTAAAGGGCCCCTTAAAGGGATCTATAGGGTTCCTTGGGTTTAGTTTAGGGTTTAGGGTCTGCATGGAGGACCATGGGACTTAGCAAGTAGGGTTATAAGTACCTTAATTGGGGTTATAAGTAGACATAACTACAGTTGCCTTGCTTGTAACCCGACTTACTAAGTCCCATGGTCCTTTAAGCAGGAATGGCTTTAAGGTGCTGCGGTCTTCGTTGAACTGCAGGGAGGGCGGGGGGAAGGGAGGGTTGGGTTTCGGAGATTGGGGGGTAGGGGAAGGGTTGGGTTTCGGAGATCTGCCTCTCTTTCTTTTGGGGCTAGAACCCTAAACCCTAAACCCTAAACCCTAAACCCTAAACCCTAAACCCTAGTGTTTGGGGTTCGGGGGCTTTCCTTAGGGGTGTGTAGGGTTTGCGATCCGAAAGGGCCCAAAGTACCTGCAGAACTGCAGGGTTTCTATGTGGGAGTTTCCGAAAATTCGGGTACCTTATTTGGTGTCCTTATAATGAGGATCCTACTATTTAGGGTACTATATTATGGTCCCCTATTTTCGGAAACACCCATGTTTTTTTCCAGAATTGTTGCTATGATTTCGGGAGGATTCCCTCATTACTGATTACTGTTACCTAGGACCCTGTGGGGAACAGGGTTTTTGCGGCCTCAGAGTCTCTAGTACAGGGGCCGTAGTAAGTATACACCTATACTGTTTTGCGGGGTTCCGTTGAAGGGCTCCTTATCTTGATGGTGTCGATAAGGGATCTATAGTATAGGGTTCTTGGGTTTAGGGGCCTTAATCATGACCTACACTATGTTTTCGGAGGGGGGGGGGGCCTTATTATAACTATAGTATAGTTGGGCCCCAAACAAGGCTCCTACATTGGCGATTGCAGGTTTGGGTGCTCAGTGCCGGAGTTTTTGTGGAAACCTTTACCCCCAAACCTTCGACTGCAACTCCAAACTCAAAGCTTCTGCCAAGAGTCTCCATGTTCCATTTTGGGGTTAAAGGATCCTAAATGTAGACTTGATCAAGCAAAAAAACTACAATGGAGACTGCTGGCACACCCTAAAAACCCTAAACTCAAGGGGCCCAGAATCCTCCAACTCTCCAAGCCTAAGAAGCCCGACAGGCCGCAAAAAGAACCGCCTAAACTCGACTCTACTTGGAGGTTCATGGGTAGTTGTCAGTAGGGTTATAAGTGTGGTAACCGTACGTGTAACCCATATTAGGGGACTTAAAACCCCACTTATAACTACCCCTGAACCTCCAAGGACCCTGCATCCCTGAATGAAGCCGCAATCCCCACACATGACCGCGCTCTAGAGAGGAGCCTCTTAGTCGGCCTCAAATCATCACCCTAGTAGCTGAGTGGATACATTTTACAGTTGTTGATATAATGTCACCCAAAGTGTACACCTTTGGGGGGGGCTTATGCACTGAGCAACAAACGATCGGCTCGAGGATTTTGGGCTTTTCCTAGGGTTTACTGAGCCCTTAAAAACCCCAGAAGCCTTAATCCCAAACCCTTTAAGTTCCATAAGCCATCTACCACCCCGCGCCAAGCCCTAAGCCCTAAACCCTACTCCTCCACAATATATAGATATGTATGTATGTATGTATGTATGCATGCAACAGTAACAACCACGACAACCACCACAATCACGACAACCACAACCACGACCACACCAGCAATACTCGCAACAATAATCATAGCAACAGCAATCATCGTGACAAAAACACCTCTGAGGCGCCACCAGTCGAAGCGGTCGCAGCCGCGGCGCCAGCTCGTTCACAAGTCGGGAGACCTGTCAGTCGTGGGAGGCTTTAGGGTTTAGGGGTTAGGGTTTAGGGTTTTACGGCTTTGGGGTTTAGAGTTTTCGGGTTTAGGGTTTTCGATGTTTGCCGTTGTGGGGGGCTTAGGTTTTGGGATAGGCAGGCGGTATTTAGAGTTTTCTCGCGAGCCTATGGACTTTCACAAGATTGGCATGTTTTCCGGCTTTTTGAAGAGCTTATAGAATTTGAGTTGGTTCGTTTGTGCAGAATGCAAGTATTGGGATTCAGCATGTAAGGTTTCGGAATTCAGGCTTTCTGGGTTCTGGGCTTTACTGTGGGGACCTAAACATTGACCTATACTATCTCGGGGGTTCCTTGTTATATTTATGGCATAATGGGCCCCACAACCCTATTCTAATCATTAAGGCCCCTATGAAGTGTTTCGGGGTCTGGGATCGGAGGTCTAGTGTTTCGGCTTTAGGGCTTTGGGCCTTAGGGGTCTAGGGTTTAGGGTTTGGGGTTTGGGGTTTAGGGTTCAGGGTTTTAAGGGCTTAGGGGTTTCGGCTTTAGGCTTTCTAGCTTGCCCCTTCAGTGTGAAGGGCTTTCAGAATTGAGGCTTTTGGAGTATTGAGATTTGAAATCCAAATGGATCAGGGCTATCACCCTGAACCCTTAGGCCCTAAACCCTAAAACCCTAAAACCCTAAAACCCTAAACCCCTAAACCCCCAAACCCCCAAACCCTTTCGTCTTATGAGCATTGCACAGTCTATGAGGGCTCCAGTTCGACCCAAGAGCACCAAGGATCCGAAGCTTGAAGCACCCTGAAGCTCTACTTGGAGGATCATGGGACTTAGTAAGGCTTCTTAAAGGGCCCCTATAGGGTTCCTTAAAAGGGATCTTTAGGGTTTAGTTTAGGGTTTAGGGTCTACTTGGAGGATCATGGGACTTAGTGAGTAAGGTTATAAGTACCTTAGTTGGGGGTTCTAAGTAGCTATAAGTATAGTTACCCTAATCATAACCCTAGCTACTAAGTCCCATGATCCTTTAAGTAAGCCCTAAACCCTAAACTAAACCCTATAGATCCCTTTAAGGAACCCTATAGATCCCTCTAAGGGGCCCTACTTAAAACTACCCATGAAGCTAACCCCAAATGCTCACGCGTCGGGGCAGTCCCCAGAGGCTAAAAGATTCTGATGCGGCAATGAATTGAGTGATGATAGCGACGATATGGGAGTTTCCAAAAATTAGGGGTACCTTATTCTGGGTCCTTACAATAAGGATCTTATTATTAAGGGTACTATATCAGGGTCCCCTATTTTCGGAAACTCCCATATGGGGTTATGGTAAGTATAGTAACTAGGGTGTTGCTATAGTGGAGTAGAACCCCCCCAGACTCTATTGAAATGACTCAGGCCCTGGTCTTAGAAAGTCTCCGTCAACCCTGAGCAGAATGCCCATGCTTGGAGGATCATGGGACTTAGTAAGTAAGGTTATAAGTACCTTAATTGGGGTTATAAGTAGCTATAAGTATAGTTACCCTAATAACCCTAGTTACTAAGTCCCATGGTCCTTTAAGTGAGCTTCTTGAATGATGCTAAGGTTACACCAGCCAAACTTCCTTGTCCGACGATGAGACCCATGCGGCTGCAGGGGTGGGGCTGCAGGTCAGATGGATACAGTCACGCAGTTGTGTGTGTGTGTGTGCGTATTTGGTTCGCATTGTGTTTGTTACGGTGTTCCTCGTCGTCCCCATCTTTGTTGTCACTGCCATAGAATGGCGAGTTTTGCTTCACGGAGTGTCTGCGAAAGTGATTCCCGAAAGCAGTCTTCGTCAGATATTTCGCGATCCTGCCGACATTCCCAGATACCGTGCTTGAAGACAGCTGGATGCCCGAGCCCCATGCCCGGTAAATCTCAGAAGGTCTTTGGTTGCAGGGTCTCGGTGGAAGACTTCATCTGAGCTACTCCAGGATGCCCCGATACCCTAAACCCTAAACTCCTAAACCCGTAAACCCTAAACGCTTAAGCCCTAAAGCCTAAACCCTGGAGGCTGCACAGACCACAGTCTTCCAAAGGCGCGGCGTGAGCTGAGGGCAGTGGTGGCTTACACGAACTTACGTGAAACAGGAGGATTGGCACCCATAGGTCAGACTAGGATGGTACCACTCTGTTCAGGGGTTTAGGGCCGTCAAAACCTGTATATACCTCAGCAACCGTTTCTGCCAGTTCAATCCGTGGATGAAATTCAGATTTCAGCTTTGGTTTTTTTTTTTCGGAGGTATATTTGATACCTGTAAGTGTTCAAGAAGGTCTGCCGGGTATTTCCCAAGATCACGTGTTCCTGCCACAATTTGCCGAATTCCTACAGGCCGTAAGGCCTTACGTGGAGATTCATGAGCCACTTCCAACAAGAATTCCCGGAAAGTTGCAAGCCTCAGGCCATCAGAGTTTAGGGTTGTATATAGGGCCTTGGGTTTAGGGATGAGGGTTCATGGTGACACCCTACTCCCCAAACCCATGAAACCCTCAACACCCAGAAGATGGAATTCGAAACCATGAAGAAGTGAATTTAACCGAACCGCATCAAGCGTAGTAGAAACCGTGCAGCCGTTCGCAGAACAGGAAATGCTAGGATGCAAAAAGCCACCCATAGCACGAGAAACAGCAGCGAACAGTGACCTGCGGAACAGTCGGAATAAGATTTCGCTCGCCTACTACGACAGTCTTGACTTTAACAACAGATTGCTACTACAGTGGCCTCTGTATTTACCATGCAATACTATTGTGGGGTTTCCTTATTAATTACTATGGTCCCAAAACCCTAGTCTAATTGTTAAAGCCCCTACATTACACCCTCGCCCTAAGGGCGAATCGATCCTCCATTTCCCACATAGAAAGTTTGCACGCCGACGGCTTCCAAGAAGCCTTTCGCACCTCTCTGTCTCGGGCTTTGTGGGGCGTAAGATAGCGCTGAAAGAGTGTGGACGACTTACTTGGAGGTTCATGGGTAGTTATAAGTAGGGTTATAAGAGGGTAACTACCCCAGCTTAGGCGCCTTACAACCCCACTTACAGCTACCCTAAACCCTAAATCCCTGCAGAGCCCTTTAAAGGGACCCTTAAAGGAACCCTTATACCCCTGAACCTCTAAGTGAGAGTCTCCGAAAATAGGGACCCTAATATCGTACCCTAAATAGTAGGATCCTTATTATCAGGACCCCAAGATAAGGTACCCCTAATGTTCGGAAACTCCCAAGTAGAGCTTCTAGGCGCTCAAGCATTCATGTCTAAACCGGCAGCCAGACCGGCCAGGTGGTCCGGAATAGCGCAAATCTAAGGCTTAGGGTTTAGGGCCTAGGGTTTATAGTAGAAGCCCAAAAGTTGGAAACCCAATAGCCTCAATCCTTAACAGCAATGGATAGGGAATCCCAGCACGATTTGGCCTTAATCCGGTTTCCAACTTTATCGGGTTTACTGTAAGGTTTAGGGTTCAGGGATTAGGGTTTAGGGTTTAGGGCTTAGGGTTTAGGGTTCAGGGAACACTAAGACAAGGACTCCTTCGATCCATCGAAGTTTGGGATCGCGGGGATTTAAGTCTCTGATCTTCAAAGTGTTTAGGGTTTAGGGTTTGAGGTTTAGGGTTTAGGGTTTGCTTCAAAGTTGTTGGATCGCTGAAGCCCGCTGACTGGGATCGAAAGGCTGCATGTCCAGGCTTTCATCAGCTTCTATTTTAGAAGGGCTAGACATGCTAAAGGTGCAGGGGTTTAGGGTTTCGGGTTTAGGGTTCAGGGTTTTAGTGTTCAGGCTTTAGAGTTTCAGGGCTTAGGGTTTAGAGTCTTTACCCGAGGAGCATCCCGAGGACGGGAGAATTCGTGTTACAGGTCACCCTTCCCCCTCCTGGATGTTTTCGGTTTCTGCGCGACCGAAACCCCAGAACCCTATGCCTCAGTAGCATCAGGACCCCGAAACAAGTGACCCCTAATTCAACACATTCAACAGTCAACAGTAGGAGCACTGTCCCCTTTATTACTGGCCATATAGATACACCGATTAAAGCCCTCTTGAAATCACTTACGAGCCTGTATCTGTATAGTTTTTCAAGGGCCTCAGAATGGCACCTAAACTGCCTGCCCCCCCAGCCCAACACCCAGCAGCTGAAGCGAACTACGGAAGTGCAGAGGCCTAGGACAGATCAGAAGGGAGAAGGGCGCTCACAAATGACATGCTTGCCTAAGTCGTTCCAGAAGGCATGCTGCAGGAGCAACCCAGTTTTTTTGGCTCTAGGTTTCATACAACAACCTTTATGACCCTTCCTTCATATAAATACCTCATCATATCGCTGTGACTTCATACGCCTCATATCGCCATGAACGAGCACAGCCTGACCACGGTGGCCGGCGGAATCATACTGATAGTCTACCGAAGGCCGGCGCCCCAGCACGGGGTAGCCTCATCGGAGTCCTTGCGCCTTTCATCCTCAACTCACAGCCCCAGAGGCCCCCCAAAAAATCCTAAAGCCCTAAACCCTAAACCCCACGTATCCTACCTTTTTAAGGACTTAAAAAAGGAATCATATTAGGGAACCCTAAAAAGGTAGGTTCCTTAGGGTCCATGTAAACCCTAAACCCCTGAAGGTTGATTGTGTTTTCGGCCTCGAGTCCCCCCGGAGTCTTGCAGCTACTTGTAGCTGGCCACCCATTCAAGGTCGGGTCTAGGGTATCTTTGACTCCAGGCACCAGCATAAGCTTATTCAGACTGTAGGGGAATGTTGACACTTTGCAACGATTTTGTGTTGTGCATTGTTCCGGGGTGATATCGGATTAGCGTCGTTCTTTGACCCTAAACCCCCAACCCTAAACCCTAAACCGCCAGGATATGCCAAGGGCATGAGTTTGTTGGATCTGTTTTCAACTGGATCAGGGCCCAGTCTGACATGGAGTGTTTCAAAGGGGAAAAGGAGGGACCCTTAATAAGGAGCCCCTATATATATATATATATATATATATACCCGTAATATAGCTAGTATATACCCATTATATAGCCCATTATAGGGTCATTAAGGGTCCCTCCTTTTCCCCCTTGAGTGTTGTATCCGTTCCACTTCCCGCCCCCTTTTTTCGGCGCTGGCCTCGAAGCTACTGCTTGTCTGTGCAATTGCCACAAGCTGAGGGTAGCCTAAACCCTAAGCCCAACCCTAAACCGAACCCTAAACTCTATGCCCAGCACTCTAAACCCTCAACCCGAGGATGTCTGAAGTCATGCCCTGGAGTCATGGGTCCTTCAGCCGTGAAGCGCGTGTCCATACCTGCCAAAGAATCTTTAGAAGGTCCATATGGGTAATTCTCTGGTAAGGGCCTCTGCTTAGGAGCCCAACACAAGGCGGCACCTTTAAGAATTTAAAAAGGGACCCAGGGAACCTGATTCAGCTAACTACCCAAGGCCCCGCGAAGACTATGCCTAATATGGTTTTTCCCTATATCCCAACCCCCCCAAACCCTAAACCCTGTTTCCATAACTATTATTAAACTCCCCTAAGCCGCAGACCCCTCAACCCTAAACCCTATTCCACAATTACTAGTAGTCTACATGGACCCTCTAAGACTTGTTAGTCCTGAGGCGAGTAATGCCTCAGAGTTGATAAGCGCCTGTCTTTGTAGACGCTGCAACAGATTAGGGCTTAGGGGTTGGAGAATCAGTTCAGGGTCTACGAATGGTTTAAGTTTAGTTGAAGATCAGGGATTAGAGTTTAGGGTTTTAAGTTTATAGTCCCTCGAAACAGGGCATCAGGGTTCCCCGCTTCGTAGAGGGGTCTGCAGTTCCCCTCCCGGCCCTGTCCCTCTCGTTCTGACAATTTACAAGATTTTTGTGCTCCGCGGTCCATGCCTTCGCCGCGACAGTGCTGATGTGCATGTTTTCCTCGACAATTAGGGCATCTCTCTTTGCATCGGGGCGAGAGTGCAAGGTGCGTGCGGCCTTACGGGTAGGAATTTGGGCTTTGGTGATTTTCATTCGTGTTCAGAGCTTAGGAATGATTATTGTTTGATCTGAGGTATATCACAAACGTGCATTGTAGGCTTTGGCGTTTGTGGTGTAGCCCTCATGCTTACCCCGAAGCCAAAGTCCACTGGCCAGCTGCCCACATCCCGAAACCTCCACAACCAGTACACCTTAAGCTCACCTTAACCCTTAAACCCAACTCCAATTTTTTCATCTCACTTCCAACTCGGCTGGGAGAGCCTTTACCTTTCTAAGCCGGAGTCCTGAAGTCCAGACCACTCGTCAACGCCGAGCTACTTCTGATTCGCAATGGGTTGCTATGCTATAGGGGCTTTAGGGTTTAGGGCAAAGTGCCGTAGGGGTTTATAAGAAGATTCCCTAGCGCGGAGCCCCTGACATCCACAGGTCAGGGTCTACGATTCCGAGATAAGGGTCGACCCAAAACCCAAAACCTCTGAGCGGTCGAGTCTAGTCTAATCAAGTTCGTAGCCTCCGGACTCAAGGGTTCGCCATGAGCTGCATGATGTCGAACACCTAGTTGTGGCTGAAGGCTTGCATCTCAAAGCGCCTGGAACCAGGACCCAAGACCAGAAACCAAGAACCAGGAACCAAGAATGCAGCTGTACAACTTGGTTCTAATTTGTGGCTTCCTGGTTCTGTTACTTGGTGCAGCAGTGCAGCATTACACGGCTTAAACCTAGAAACAATAACCAAAAATCAACAACCAAGAATCAGAAAAACAAAACCCAACAAAAACATTAACCAATTGGTTCCTGGTTCTTGGTGGTTGGTTGTTGGCTCTTGGTTCCTGGCTCTTGGTTCCTGGTTCCTGGTTATTGGTTTTGATTTTCTTGGTCTTTGTGTTTTTTATATTCTTGGATGTTGATCCTGGTTCTGCGTTTTTGGTTCTTGGTTATTGGTTCTGGGTTTCCTGGTTCTTGGTTCCTGGTTCTTGGTTCTTGGTGACACCCCAAGACTGATGCTTCCCAGTCATTGGTTCAATCATGACTACAACATCGTAGCTTTTCGTTGAGACCTTAGTACCTTAAACCCTAAGCCTTTAACCCTAATACCTTACGCCCTAAACCCCACAGA